TCAGAGCTCCCATCCCCCTCACACACACACACCTGTCAGACCCCACTCAATATTAGCATCGGCAGGTGTACAGAAGCGCTGAGGTTTGTCAAACCCTCCCAGGACTGTACGCTCAAACAGGCTTAGACATGGACATATCTAGCCAACCCTCCAATCACTAACGGTTCACCCAAAATGTAAGGATCTGCACCTGCCACTCAGACCTCATGCACAGCCACAGAATGAACAGTTCTTCTCAGATGCCACTCAAACTCAGGCTGGCGGCCCTACTTCACTTTCATGAGAAGGATGTCTCTAGTACTCCCACACGGGACAGTGCTACATCTAGTGGAGAACTGGAAGCCCCACAGTTCTCACCTGGTGGCATGAATTCGCGGAGCTTCTCTGGGATGATGATGCCCTCCTCGGTCTGGTAGTTCTCCAGGATGGCGCAGATGGCACGCGTGGTGGCACACATGGTGGCATTGAGCATGTGGACGAACTCCGTCTGCAGGAGGAGAGCGCGAGAGAGAGAGTCAGGGCCCGCTGGGGAAGGCCCCAGCTCTGTCAAAACACCACCGAGGGACAGATATATACACAGAAGTCTTCTAGCTACCAGGACAACATCAATGAGTAGAAAACCGCTGATTCAAGAAACTCCAGCTGAAAAGTGAACTTTGTAAATGAGATTTCTATAATGGAAAGATAACGTTTTCTCTCAAAAGTATTTGCTAAAACTTTCTGCCTGCCATTTAACCCGGATAAAACTTATATTCCTATTAAGACTTGACTGCACTTTCTTAAAGAAAATTGAGTAGTATTTCTGTGTAGACTAATATTTTATCCTTTTATAATGACCAATCCAATACAGATTTGACCAAACCTATATATTTATGTATTTAACACTCCATCTTCTTGGCTGCCACAATGTACACAGTTCTAAAAAAGTGCAATGGTAAACTAAATGAAGCGATAAAAGAAAACTGAAATATCCTCTGTATGTTTTACTTGTAAACAAGATAATAAATAAATCAAAAGTGAATAAAACAACAGTAAGGATGAGATTCTCCCCATCCTGTTCTCCTCTGAGGATGCTTTCTCTTCAGACACGGACAGAACTAATACTGTTTTTTTTCCATTAATCAACCGTGAGGTTAGGAGAATGAAAGCTTGAAGAGAATGAAG